TCATCGCAACCAAATTAGAAGTGGACGCCGAGTACGGCGACCGCATCTCACGGCCGGGCGTGTGTCGGGGCGACGCCGTGGGTGTGTTGGCCCGGTATGACATCGACGACTGGGACGGGGAGGGCGAGGGCACGGGCGACGCGCTGTTGGAGCTGCTGTTAAGGCCACCCCTTTCGCTGTGCAGTGAGTTGTTGGACGGATAGTGCGATAGCCGCCGGTGACCGTTAGCCGCCAGGCCATTGCCGTTTATACCGGGGCTGCCATTCGTGAGATTGCCTTTCAGCGCGTTTCCATTGCCATTGCCATTGGGGGTGTGATTGTAATTGAGATTATAGTCGCGGCTGTATTTCTGGCTGTAAATCGATTGCGAGCTCGCGTTCAGCCGAAGTGGCGATAAATGTAAGCCTTTACTGTTGAGCGCATTATTAGGCACTGTATTGGACGTAACGACAGGTGCTGTGCGTTTGGAGTTCCAACAAACCGGACGAACGGATCAAATAAAACATCTCTTTTAGAAAAGGGTTTACAAGAAAGAAAACAAAGCGAGAGAGAGAGAGAGAGCATATAATAAGGATGAGTACCTCTGCCCTCTAACTGAGTAACTCTTCGGAGGACATCAGCCAATGTACTCCTGAGGCACACGATCTCATCGGACTGATGGGCTAACTTGCGCTCCAAGTGGAGGACCCGGTGCTGAAGCTGTTNAGTACCTCTGCCCTCTAACTGAGTAACTCTTCGGAGGACATCAGCCAATGTACTCCTGAGGCACACGATCTCATCGGACTGATGGGCTAACTTGCGCTCCAAGTGGAGGACCCGGTGCTGAAGCTGTTGGTCGTGATCTGTGTTCGTGCTCTCAGAAGATAGAAAGCTATCGTCTGAATCGGATGCAAAGGAAAGGCATTTCAATTAAATGATAAATTGTTATTTCAAAACACAGGCTCTCATTCATAGTATGGTTACTAACGCTTAAAAGTTTATGTGTTTTGGCTTTTATTGGCTTAACGTTTGATAATAAACTAGAAGTTTATTCAATACATTGTAGTCTTAAATAATACTTTGTTGTGTTCTCACATGGATTTCGGAGACTTTTAATCCTTTTTAAGACATTACAGGCGACATAACGGGTCAAAAGGGTACGGGTTGTCAGTGAGCGGTGCACTAACCAACTATACTCAGCCGGGGAACTGTATTTAAATGAGCTCCTAATCCTCTAATCATCCTTCAAAACCACACAATCAACCGCTCATTTCCTGTCGTCGATACAAAAGCCCACAAAAAGGCAGTAGTTTTTGAAAAATGATTGTCAAAAAGAGCAGAGAAAATATGCAATTCATGTGAGAAATGCACGTCAAAATAAATATATATAACGATTGGGAACTCTATCATATTATATGATATATTGTTTATAGGCTTTTCGGACTAAACAAAAGGCCAACAAGTTTTGCCAAGTGTTTGAAAGTCACAAACACATAGCGACTGATAGTTATTGGAGGCAAACAATTGTGTGATTGTAATGTGTGTCGAGTTTTTTCATTCCGTATGTCTATCTATCCATACGTTTTGGACGCAAACACTGATCGCTTCGTTGACTTCAATGTATTTTTCAAACGTATTCTCCTTTCCATTCATTTCAATGCGAAACTTATCATTGAATTAAAGCCAATGAGAAAAGCCATAGAAAAATAAGTAGCGTTTGAAAGCGCTGTGCATTTTATGGCCCATAAATGGGAGGCTTAAGACACACAAGCA